AAGCCTGATTCACTTAACGACTGTGTGACTACCTTACCAACTGCACTGATTCACTTAACTGGGGCAAGAAAGGACATAAAATGGGGCAAAACTCACTTAACAACTGTCTTGCTTAGCAATGGAAATTTTGGGCTCAGTTGGGGCCGTAAATTGAGGACTACCTGTACGTTACATTATAATATTTATCATATATGTTTCATTTTATCACTTTGTTTATGTGATGGAGGCTCCGAAGGGCCGGTGGCTCCTGTCCTCTGCCTGGACCATGGGTAGGCAACCTTGGCTCTTTTATGACTGGTGGACTTCAACTCCCAGAATTCTTGAGCCAGCATGGGGGATCTATGGCCCCCTTCATGACTGGTGGACTTCAATTCCCAGAATTCCTGAGCCAGCCATGCTGAGGGGAAAGGGAGAGGTTTCCAAGCTGAGTAATGCTGGCTCAGGAATTCTGGGAGTTGAAGTCCATACATGCCAGATGGGTTACCCGCAGCATTTTATAAATGTTTACAAGATATATATTAAGCTTACTCAGGAAAGAAGTTTGTAATGAGGTGTGTTACAAGAGGCTAAATTACCAAATACTTGGACAGAAGCGAATCTCACTTTAATACCAAAAGAAGATTCAGATTTGATACAGATAAAGAACTATAGAGCATCATAATGCGGATTATAAAATGTTTGCCTCAATAATAGCAAAGAGGCTGAAAAGATTTCTGACTGAATTTGTTCATCCAGACCAAAATGGACTTCTACCCAAAAGACAAATAAAAAATAACCTAAAAATTATTTTGGATATCCTGGAATATTATGAAATGCATCCAGGAAAACAAATGGCCCTATTTTTTTTAGATGCACAGAAAGCCTTTGATAATGTAAATTGGCAAAGAAATCGTGGGTGCTCCATCGCTGGAGGTTTTAAAGAAGAGACCGGACAGTCACTTGTCTGATATGGTATACGGTCTCCTGTATGAGCAGGGGGCTGGACTAGAAGACCTCCAAGGTCCCTTCCAACTATTCTATTCTATTCTATTCTATTCTATTCTATTCTATTCTATTATTTTACATTCTATTCCTATTCTATTCTATTCCAATTCCTATTCCTACTCCTATTTTATTCTATTTTCCTATTCTATTCTATTCTATTCTGTTCCTTATTTTAATTCTATTCTATTCTATTCAAATCTATTCTATTCCTATTCCTATTCTATTTTCCTATTCTATTCTATTCTATTCTATTCTATTCTATTCTATTCTATTCTATTCTATTCTATTCCATTCTATTCCTATTCTATTCTATTTTCCTTTCTATTCAGTTCCTTATTTTAATTCTATTCTATGCTACGCTATGCTATGCTATTCTTCTTATCTAGTTCTGTTCTGTTCTGTTCTGTTCTATTCTTCCGATGCCAACGTAAAGCGTCCTGCCAACCCAGAGGTTTCTCTATTCTGCGGCCGCTCAAAGCAGGATTATCGCTTAGCTGGGTGTCTCGGCCCTGAGAAGGGAGGGGCAGCCAGCAATGCCCTGCAGAGATTCCCAGGGGATTTTTTTCCACGCAGGGTGAGGCCCCTGGCAGGTGTTCAGAGGGGCAGGCTGCCAAAATGGCCCTCCTTTAGGGCGAGGCCTCAGAGGGTAAGAGCTGAGCTTCTGGCCGTTCCCAAAGATCAAGCAGGACGGGTCCTTGGGAAGGCTCAGAGCTGATTGTAATGGGATGGGAGACCACCAGGAAGCCCTAGGAACGTAAAACTGATCTGGGAAAAAGTGGGGGAAAAAACTTCTCTTGTCTTTACAGGGGTGGTTCTGTGGCTGCCCCCAACCCTTGCATGCTAGGATTCAAAGTCTTCCGATAAAACTCCAGGGATGTGTCTGCATAATGGGGAGGTGGGGGGTCAGGGTCTTGTCTCAACTTCATGGAGGGGGCTTGAGTTTGCCTACAGCCCCTCCTGGCTTTTCTGGCTGGAGGGAGAGCAACGCCCTCCTGTGTTTTGTTCAGCTGGCATTCAGGTTGGGTTAGACCAGGGGTAGGGCAGCCTTGGCTCTTTTATGACTTGCGGACTTCAACTCCCAGAAATCCTGAGCCAGGCAAGCTCCAGATGATCAGGGGACTGGAGGCTAAAGCATATAAGGAAAGGCTGCTGGAATTGGGTATGTCTAGTTTAATGAAGAGAAGGATGAGGACAGGATAGCAGCCTTCCAGTCTCTCAGGGGCTGCCCTAAAGAAGAGGGAGTCAAGCTATTTTCCAAAGCGCCTGAAGGCAGGACAAGAAGCAACGGATGGAAACTAACCAAGGAGAGAAGCAACCTAGAACTAAGGAGGAACTTCCTGACAGTGAGAACAATTAACCGGTGGAACAACCTGCCTCCAGAAGCGGTGAATGCTCCAACACTGGAGGTTTTTAAGAAGAGACTGGACAGCCATTTGTCTGAAATGGTACAGGATCTCCTGCCTGAGCAGGGGGTTGGACTAGATGACCTCCAAGGTCCCTTCCAACTTTATTATTATTAACAACCTGCCTCCAGAAGCTGTGAATGCTCCAACACTGGAAGTTTTTAAGAAGAGACTGGACAGCCCTTTGTCTGAAATGGTATAGGGTTTCCTGCCTGAGCAGGGGGTTGGACTAGATGACCTCCAAGGTCCCTTCCAACTCTATTATTATTATTATTTTAAGTCATAAAAGAGCCAAGGTTGCCTACCTCTGGGGTAGACATTCCTTCTGCTGATCCTCTGAAGTGGAAGAGCAGAGGATGGGCAGGGTCCCCGGGAGGGGGGAGGGTCAAAGGGGTCCTCTCCTCCTCCTGGCTACCAAAACAGGCCCTTAGCAGGGCCGGATTGTCTCCCCCCCCTCCAAACAGTAAGAAGCCAGCCTTGTTAGGATAAGAAGCCAGAAGAGGGAGACTGAATCCCCCCCCCCGGACCCCCGGCAATCCTTGCCATCCTTTGTAGGGCAAAACACCAGGAAAAGAATAGGGTGGGAGCGCCCTGAGGGAGGAGAAGCAGAAGGGCGCTGGGCCTGGCTGCTGATGCCCATCCCCAAATTCGGCCCGGCCTTTGTTTGCTGTTCTGCCCACCCAGCCACCCTGGCCTGGCATTAAGCCAAGCCCTGCCAGGTGTCCAGACCCTCCAGACCTCAGCGGTGAAAAGAAAGGCAGATGCCGTTCAGGTGCACCCTCCCAGCCCAGAAGGATTTCTCAGCTTTGCCCACTTGAAAATGGGTGGATTTAAATTCCCAGAATTCCCCAGCCAGCACGCTTTAAAACAGATGGACTTCTACTCCCAGAATTCCTTAGCCATCTTGTTTTTAAAAAGTGAGATTTCAACTCCCAGAATTCCCCACCCATCCTGCTTTAAGAGGAATGGACTTCCACTCCCAGAATCCCCCAGCCAGCCTGCTTTGAGAGGGGACGACTTCCACTCCCAGAATCCCCCAGCCAGCCTGCTTTGAGAGGGGACGACTTCCACTCCCAGAATTCCCCAGCCAGCATGCTTTAAAACAGATGGACTTCAACTCCCAGAATTCCTTAGCCATCTTGTTTTAAAAAAGTGAGATTTCTACTCCCAGAATTCCCCACCCATTCTGCTTTAAGAGGAATGGACTTCCACTCCCAGAATTCCGCAGCCAGCATGCTTTAAGAGGGGTGGGCTTCCACTCCCAGAATTCCCCTGCCAGCCTGCTTTAAGAGGGAAGGACTTCCAGAAACCCCCAGCCAGCCTGCTTTAAGACGGCTGGACTTCAACTCCCAGAATTCCGCAGCCAGCCTGCTTTAAGAGGGAAGGACTTCCACTCCCAGAATCCCCCAGCCAGCATGTTGGCTGCGGCATGCTGGGAGTTGAAGTCCATGCATCTGAAAGTTGCTAAGCTTGAGAAAGGCTGTGCCTGCCCATCGCTCCCTCTGCCCTTTGAGCAGCGGAAGCCTCCTAATTTTTGGCGTGTCTGTTCTTGCGCAAGGCCCCTCCGCACCCCCAGTCCGAGGAGCAGGTGCTGGGTGCTTCAAAGAGGCTGCCGGACAGACGTAGGAGTTGAGCCGAGCAGCCGGTTGCATCACCACCCCCCTTGCAAGGGAGGCCGGAGGAGTTCATTGTGTCATTGGGGTGTTTTCCCCAGCACTGCATGTTTTCTTCTTGCGCCAGTAAATTGCGCCTCCACCCCTTGGCGCTGCTCTCTGGGAGCCACTCGGGGCCCTTCTAAGATTTCTGGGATTTTGGAAGAAAAACAGCAGGCCGGCCCGCCTAGGCGCCCTGGGGACATGCTTTAAATATGCATTTTTTTCATGCGCAAAGGAAGCAACAGACACCCGGGCATCCAGCAGCCGAAATGCAGGCTGACCCACTTGGATCAATGGTCCCAATTGTGCTTTTCCCTGACTAACAGACGCTGCGGTCTTTGGGGGGCTTAATTTGGGGGGGGGGAGAAAGGAAGGCATTGGGGATCTTTCACTTTGCGTCCCCTCCCACTGGGTGTCCCCCGTCCTTCCCCAGGGGTGGGTGAAGGGAGGCTGATGCACTGGACAGGAGTTTAGCTGCTGTCAGGTCGTCTGTCTGTGGCCCGGCCCAGGGATACCCAACCTCGTCCACTTTAAGACTTGTGGACTTCTGCTCCCAGAATTCTCCAGACAGAGATATAAAAAAACATCTTTTTATATTGTGGTGACCCAAACTGGGTGCCGTATTCCAAGTGTGGCCTTACCACAGTGTTATAAAGCGGTACTAACACTTCACGTAATCTAGATTCTATCTTCTCTTTGTTAAGGCAGCCCAGCACTGTGTTGGCTTTTTTGGTTGCTGCCGCACGCGGCTGGCTCAGATTTAAGTGGTTGTCCACAAGAACTCCGAGATCCCTCTCACAGTTGCTTCCTAATCTGCAAGGAACGACCTAATCTGTACCCGTGCATTGGGTTTTTCTTGCCTTACTTTTCTCACCGCTGAATTATATCTGTTCCCAAGCCCAAATTGCTGGTGCCTCTGCGGATGGGAAGAAGCACCTCCAGAGATAACGTGACTCACCTTGAAGTAAGGGAAGTGGTCGGTCATGAAGTTGTAAATCTCGCTGACAGGTAGACTCCCGGTTTTGCTGTTCTTGAGGGCCATAAATATGAGGATGCTGTGGAGGAGAGGGAACAAACCATGGTTAGCAGGGACTTGCTTTGCTATATGGGTGGAGGGTGACGGGGGAAAGAACCCCGGGAGATAATAATAATAATAATAATAATAATAATAATAATAATAATAATAATAATAATAATAATAATTCTGGCTTCACAAGACCAAGCCTTAAGGACAAATGCATACAAAGTCAAAATTGAGAAGACAGCAACAGACAGTAAGTGCCGCCTATGCAAAGAAGCTGAAGAAACAGTGGACCACCTGGTAAGCTGTTGCAAGAAGATTGCACAGACTGATTACAAGCAGCGGCATGACAAAGTAGCAACAATGGTGCATTGGAAGATCTGCAAAAAATATCATTTGCCTTAAGCAAAAACTGGTGGGATCATAAAATAGAGAAAGTCATAGAAAATGATAAAATTAAACTGCTCTGGGACTTCAGAATTCAAACAGACAAGCACCTGCAACATAACACCCCGGACTTAACAATTGTCGATAAGTGTCAGAATCCAATTATATTTCATCTTTAATTATCAAACATAGAAACTCCCAATTCTGCCTTCTCTGGATTCTGCCATAAGAGGGAGAAAAGGGGGAGAGCAAAGGGGCTTTATGGCCCTCACTTCCTTCAGCACACTTCAAAGGACTGAATGTGTGTTTATTGTGGCCTCTAAGCTTTAACATATCAAAGAAGAGTAATTGCCTTTCATGTAGTTATCTGAAGTCTCCATCCAGACGGAAGAAGAAAGGGGATGGAATTGTGATACTTGAAACTATCACTGGAAGGGGGGTTGATTGGGTGGGACTACTGGGGAACCCCTTAAAACCTTGAATGGGAGAGCTTGAACCCCAAGTCCTGTCTAGCATGCCTGCAACCATTTTCTCTTAATAAAGGATTCCTGTTGGAAGACTATTCCAAGAGTTCTGTCTTCTTAAGATGCAAAGTGGGGTGGGTCCTTACATTAGACAGGACTTGCAAAATTAATCCACCTGGAAGGTAGACCCTTGCCGGGGGATTTTGCAAAAATTTACCATGTCAGACAACGAAGCAAGAGAGGGAGAAAACTCCCTGGAAAGAGAGCCGCTGACCCAGTTGGAACCTTGCCAGATGTTGGGATCCGAGAGGCCAGATTTCTCAGAAGAAGAAGTGGTGGAGACACAGGACCACAAGCCTCGCTGGTCGATGGGCGTTGGAAAGAAAAGCGAGTGGGGAAAGGAATCAAGAAAAGTGACCCTGAGACGGGGGACCAAGCAACCAGAATGGAAGCAGGAGATGGAGAAATCCCTGCACGCAAGTGAAGAGGGAGGAAGCTGTATGCCGTACTCAGACTGGATCCTAGAGAGAGCTATTGACCTGATGAAGAGAACTCTCAGCTCCCTAGGAGAGGAGATTCCTGAGCCCTACGCCCGCCCCAGTTCCTGGAGCCACAAAGGGAGAGACACCGAGGGGGACGTGGAACCTGCAACCCCAGGGACATTTACTGATCCAGGAGCTCCCACCCCCTACCGGACCCAGATGGAAATCTGGACGGAAGACACTACCACCCACAATGGAGGCACCGATCCATTCCAAGACGTCCACCGTTGGAGGTGAAATTCAAAGGGGAGCCAACACGCTTGGGGTTTTTCCTAACCCAAGTCCTCAGCTACATGGAGGAATATGGGCAGGACATCCCCAGCGACAAAGCCCGCATCCGGATCGTGCAATCTGCCCTGGATGGACCAGCTGCAGATTGGGTGGTGAACCTGCATGACTCCAATGCCCCAGAACTCAGTAACTTCAACCGTTTCATGTCCTCTTTGAGAAGACGATTTGAAGACCCCCTGGCTGATCGCAAAGCCCGTGAAAGAATAACAACGATGAGGCAGGGCAAACGCCCAGTGGCTGAGTATACACAAGAATTCCGAGCCATTGCCAGCAAACTGAATTGGCCAGAAGACATCCTCCTTGGCCGTTTCAAAGACGGACTAAACTATGATCTATATGATGCTTGCCTGCCCCGAGGAGACCCACATCGACTTGAGGAATGGTACGTCTTGGCAGAGGAAGCAGAGATCGACATATTGAAGAGGCATCGCCGAGGAAAACAATGGAGCCGCCCCCCGCCTGAGCTGACACACCAACCGGTGAAATCATCGGATACAGCCAAGAAGCAGATGGGGTGTTTCAAGTGCGGAAGAGAAGGGCATCGAGCTGTAGAATGCCGCTCAAAGGCCCCCCAGCACAACCCAGACAGATCCCCAATCAACAAACCCAGAGGGTATTCAGCTAAGCCAAAAGAAACAGCCATGAAAATGATGGAAATTGCAGAAAACCCCACCTCTGCTCACCAAGGGGAAAGAACTCCAGCCTACACCACAGGGACGGTGGATGCCTCAGATGACAGCTCGGAAGGCGAACCCCTGGTAAGTGGACGCATCACACCCATCTTCAAAACAGTGACTATATTAATCCCCCCCATGCCCGAAGCTGTGAAGGTGAAAGCCTTAATAGACTCTGGCTGCACCCGCTGCCTCATTAGCCCAACACTAGTGGGGAATCTGGGCATCCCATCCAGGAGACTGGAACAACCAATCTCATTTGGCCAGCTAGATGGATCCATAGCAGGGGGGGTGCCAGCTACCCTAGCCACTCTGCCAATACACCTCTCCCTGGGCAACCATGAAGAGGACTTAACGTTTGTGGTGACCCCAGGTATGGAATGCCCAATGATTCTAGGGATGGAATGGTTGAAAAAATGGAACCCCTGGGTAAATTGGAGGACGACAGAAATCAAATTCCCGAAGGGGGACCCTATGGACTTAAAACCCCAAGAGAGGCTACCAGAATCAAGAATAGAAAAAGCATCCATAGGAGAGGAAAAAAGATTAACAGAAATACCAGAGGAATATAGGGACCTTGCTGAAGTCTTCAGTGAGGAGAGGGCGAATGAGCTTCCCCCCCACCGACCCACAGACTGTACCATTGAATTCAAGCCTGGGGCAAAACTCCCGAAGCCCAGATTATACTCCATGAGCCCAAAGGAGAAGGAGGAAATGGAAAGATTTATAAAAAAAAACCTGGAGAGAGGTTTCATTGAACCAGCTAAGCCTAAAGTGGCTGCCCCGGTCCTTTTTAGAGAGAAGAAGGATGGCTCTTTACGTTTATGCGTGGATTATAGGGCCCTGAACACAATCAGTGAAAGCAACCTATACCCGCTGCCCCTCATGAAAGACATGCTGTCACACCTATCGAAAGGGAAAATTTTTTCTAAACTAGACTTAAGGGAAGCTTACTATCGCGTGAGAATCAAGGAAGGGGACGAATGGAAGACTGCATTTAACTGCCCCATGGGGTGCTATCAATTCAAAGTCTTGCCATTTGGATTACAAGGGGGCCCTGCAGTCTTTATGCAATTAATCAATGACGTTCTAAGGGAGCACCTGTTTAAGGGGGTCCTTGTTTACTTGGACGACATTCTTATCTTTACCGAAACAAAAGAAGAACACGTCAAACTTGTCAGAGCGGTTTTAAAGAAGCTGCGAGCCGCTCACCTATATGCCAAACTCTCAAAATGCGAATTCCACCAGGAAAGGATAGACTACCTAGGCTATCGCATATCCCCACAGGGCATTGAAATGGACCCAGAGAAGGTCAGAGCAGTATTAGAATGGGCACCACCCCGCACAAGAAAGCAACTACAAAGTTTCCTGGGCTTTGCAAATTTTTACCGCCAATTCATCCCCTCATTTGCACAGATAGCCTTGCCCCTCACCAACTTACTAAAAACGAAGGGAACATCCTCAGTAAAACCTAGCCAGCCACTAACATGGACAATGGAGTGCCAAGCAGCGTTTGAGAGACTAAAGAGACTTTTTTCTGCCGAACCAGTACTAAGGCACCCAGATATGGACAAGCCCTTCATAATACAGGCAGATGCAAGTGATGTGGCAGTGGGGGCTGTGCTATTACAAGAAAATGATGATGCAGTATTGCAACCCTGTGCATATACATCTAAGAAACTCACGGAAACAGAACAGCGCTGGCCCGTATGGGAGAAGGAGGCTTATGGGATACGTTGGGCATTACTCACGTGGCGACAGTTCCTGGAAGGCAACAAAATCCCCTTCCAGGTATGGACTGATCACAAAAATTTAGAAGCCCTGAAAACTTCCAGGAAACTCAATCCCAAACAAGCCCGCTGGTCCCAGCATTTTCACCAATTCCAATTTAAGCTCAAACATTTACCAGGAAGAAAGAACTTCCTGGCAGATGCACTATCTCGCATGCCCCAATATAACAGCGCACGAACCACAGACTCTAGACCAATAATGGCAGAATCACAACTGGCAGCGCCAGTAACCACAAGAACCCAAGCCAAAATAAAACCACAACTGGACAGCCAAACTGGGATTGAATTCAGAAAAAGTTTGGAAACAGATGATTGGTTCCAGAAAAACAAACATGTGTGCACAATGAGAGACGGATTGCCTTGGGTAGGGGAAAAGTTATATATACCAACAACTCAAAGACTAACTTTCATGCACCTTTGCCATGACACAAAATCAGCAGGGCATTTTGGATTTGTAAAAACTTTACACTTAATTAAACGGCAATTTTGGTGGCCATCAATAAAAAAGGACATAGAAAGTTATGTTGCCAGCTGCCCAACCTGTGCATCAGCAAAGAGGTTGCAAGGGAAATCGCCAGGGCTGTTACAACCAGTGGCAAGTCCCTCAGCCCCCTGGAGGGAAATAGCCATGGATTTTATAGTGGAATTGCCTGAAAGCAATGGGAATACTGTTATCTGGACAGTCACGGACCTATTTTCCAAACAGGTGCACTTTATCCCTTGCCAAAAAATTCCCACTGCAAAGGCCTTAGCAAAACTTTTTATCCAGCACATTTACAGATTGCACGGGGCACCCCAACGCATCATCTCTGATAGGGGAGTGCAATTTACGTCTACATTTTGGAAGGAATTTTTATCCCTCTTAGGGACCACTCAGGGACTGACA